TGAAGGTATACAGTAACCTGTGTAATATTCAGCCTCTTAATGTGGTTTATATACACATAGACATGGAGAGAGATCTATTGTCAATGAAGCAACAGTTAGCTGAGAAGGAGAAACAAGTACAAGAACTTCAAATGAAATTACAAACAAAACAAGAAAAAGAACATATACATATATTACCAACAGGTATAGGTCAACTAATGAGAGTGAGTATTGATCTAATGATGTACACTATATAGAGTCTGTTGATGAATTGAATAAGAAGTTAGAGACACAATATGCAATTAGTAGAAGAAAGACAATGGAGATTGAGGACTTAAAGGCTACCATGAGACAAAAAGATGAAAAGATGATTGGTAAGAAACTAACTGGTAATGGGGAGGCTTTATTTATGTACATATGTATCAATGAAGAAGAATTTATTATTAAGAGGATAATCTTGCTTACATTACTGTGTGTGTATAGTATGTGCGAATTAAGTTACAAATTAAATTTCTACAGATACTGAGAAAGAGTTAGCATCATTGAAGGAACTGTCAGAGACTAGACTACAAGAAATAGAACAACTGAAACTGAAACTTGAAAACAATAACAGTATGTACAATACATTGAATATGACATTTAATTTAATATTTATTTTATTATAAGGATTACAAGTACCAGTTGAAGAGACATCAGAGACAATTAAAGATGAATCATCTGATGATGACACATCAAGTACATGAATGATTAAATGAATATTTATTATATTAATAATCATACAGGTATTGAAAACATTGTAATGAAACCTGAGGATAAATCACTAACAGTAAATTGTGAGTCAATTACAGTATTTGAATTTGCTATTGTATATGCATTGTAATTGTAATGTTGTATCATGGGAAGCCATAAGATGAAAGGCACCGCGTTGGGTTTATATCTGGTAGATGATCACTTCCGGTGCAATATACATATTTACCAGGATGTGACATAGCTATGATTAAAGGCACCGACAGTGCAATATATATATTTCACAGGAAGTAATGCATGGTTTGTTCAGTTGTGATAACAATGATAACAAAAGGTCATTTGTAAAATAGCAAAATAATTTATTAATAAAAGATTTTGTAAATAAACTGATATAATAGTAGTCTTTATTTCTGCAAAGATCTTTTATGGGGCCCCAACTCTCCCCGCACTGTCTGAGCCTCACTCAGCTATTGGTTTAACTGATAAGGTGTTTGTGTAACTGAACTCTATGTTAACTACTCCTATGCACACAGTTATAGTTTATGTTACATATAAAGGACACTGTATGCTACATGTACTTTGTTTATACAGTTAATTTTGTATTATAAATTCTTTTAAAATACATGACGTACAGGGAATGCTGTCTCTCTTTGCTGCCATCACACATTTAGATATTGCCATGCTTTTTTAATTGGTTAATTAAATATTCATGTACATGTAGGTGGGTATTAAATTATTAATTAATTTTCATGTGTGTGTGTGTGTGTGTGTGTGTGTGTGTGTGTGTGTGTGTGTGCGTGTGGGGGTGGGTGTGTGAGCAATAGTTTATTATTTTAATTTCAATGAATACTTGCATTAACTGACTAGTTGTGTGTTTATTATTAGTACAAGAGAATGGAGAGGTGGAGTGGAGTCAGGATGGTGTACAACTCACTAGTCCATCAGTAGATCAATGTAAGGAGGTAATCAGTAAACTGGAGGAGGAACATAAGAGCATTATATTCAACTACTCATCATCTGACAGTATACAGGTCCTAATACCAACTGTATTGGAGAGAGGAACAATAAATCAACTTGCTATATACTTCTCATTATTATCACTTGATGACGTCCTCTCATTCTCTTCTCAACTATCAATCAACAAATCATTAACTACTCTACGCCTAACTCATGGTTCAATGAGTGATGATGGAGTCATTGCACTAGCACAATCACTACAATATAATAAAACACTTCATTCCTTATATCTTGAATACAATCCTGGCATCACTTCAGCTTGTGCTCAGTCACTGGCTGAACTTTTACTCACTAACAACACACTCAATGGACTTTCTCTCGACCATACTAACATTGATACTGATGGAGTAATGATACTAATGGAATCACTCAAGACCAATAATACACTAATGATATTCAGACTAGACAAACAACATAAAGAAACTTGTTCTACTTTACCTTATTATAAGCATATTAAAAACAGATTGCATTTTGTAAAATTGTAAGAAAATCTAAATTTTATATTAGATTCACCTTGCCGTTCTGTATAGTTTCTTTGAATTTTATTTTATTGTTTATCAAATCTTGTTAATATCTATGCTAAATCTCAGCTCTTTTCTAAATCATGTTCCAGTGTGGGGTTAAAATACATTATTAATAGCATAAATATCAAATTCAAATCGTCATTACTATAATCTACACATTATTATTATTATTATTATTATTATTATTATTATTATTATTATATTGTTGTTATACACTCAAGCAGTCAATATGGCATATTTCTCGTTGGTTGGTACATGATTGATGACTAGTCTCCCATCATAGCTCAGTGATGCAAATACCCAAGCATCAGTGGTACTCCATTTAACATTATACACACTGTCCTCGTGCTCCTCGTATACTGATATCACATTATCTGTTGGAGGACTGGAAAGGAAGAAAAGAATGAGAATTATTAATATATCCATGTCATTTGAATGATGCATAACTACTGTATTGTATAATGTATTGTGAATGCATGTACATACATGTATGAAGATTCAAAGTACACATGTACACTATCAGCTATTGTGTGCTTACATGTACATGTATGTACATGTACAGTAGGTCTAAAAGTGGGTTCAGAATATTTTTCTTGCAACTTAAACTGCTGTTCAATGTAAAAATAGACCCCTACTGTACTTTTATATTTACCATTGCATTATACAACACATGAAAAATATTGCAAACCCACCATGAAACTAATCTAAATACATGCAGTAACATTTAAATACATTTTTGTACAATACTAAATACATGTACATACAGTGCTGGCTCATCTTCATCATCAAGATGCTTCAATGGCAAGATTTAATTTGTCAATTGTTTGAAAGAATGAAAATGATTTTTTGTTATGAA